GATCGAGATCGTGTGATCGCTCGGCCCTCGCCCCCGCCTGAGCCGCCCCAGGGCCGCCGGCAAACAGTCCCTTTCAAGTTTTCCGCTGGGGCCGCCTGGCGGGGGCTGCGAGCGGACTTGTTTGGAGCGCGATTTGAACGCCCGGCGCCACCTCAGCTGCTCTGGCCCGCAGAGGTGGGGGTGGGTGAGTGGGCGTTTGTCCCTGCAGCTGGGGGCATGTAATTAGAAATTTTTAGGGAACATTTTGGCCTCAGCTTGATCTGATTCCTCTCACCCAGTCACTGGGACCTGAAGCCCTGGCCCAGTGCTCTATAGGGAAACTGAGGCCCAGCACTGCCGGTTGCGCAGTGTTGATTTAGCAGTTTCCCTGGATGAGTCTGTAGCAGGAGCTGGGGCGGGGTGGGGGTGGGGGGGCAGCGAGCAGTGAGTGGCCCGCTCTGCAGCTGTCACCCCCCTCCCAGAACGGAAATTGTCCTCTCTCCGTGGTGAGGAGGGAGAAGGCTTGTCGTGTGATTTTAGCCCTAGGAAGGGGTGGAAATAGCTGGAGGAGGTTGGCCTACGAATCTTTAGTCACCTCTGGGGAACTTGGTAGAAACCTACCCCTGCGTCTAACCTGGTCAGAGCCGAGACTCTCCCTGAGAGACCACTAACTAGCCTGTGCCACCCACCCACATGTCACTCCCTCTTTTAAGGTTTCTCTACAGAAGACAGACCTTTGGTTTGCAGGCGGTTGGCTCTGGCCTTAATTTATGTGTGTATTTGGTCCTGGCTGTTTTCCGGGCTCAGCAGGTGACCCTGGCCCAGGCCTCCTATCTCTCCCCTAACAGAGCCTGTTGACTTATCCAAGTGCCAGTGGCCTCCTCTTTATCATGTGAGGTTTGGAATGTCCACCCAGCTGGGCTGGGCTAGGGTACGTGGGGGAAGGGGAGGGAGGGGAGGATTCTGCATCCAGGGCCCAGACCAACTCGGTGGGAGCCCCAGAAATTTACTCCTTTATAGCACATTGCCTGCCTTCTACCCATTTGGCATATGTGAAACTGATGCCTATAGGGGCGTGAAAGACATGGCTGGGAGAGAAACCAACTCTCTGGGAACTAATTTTAATTACCCCATTTCTTGTGAGACCCCTTCTAGTTACTTATGGGAGGATAGCTTCCTTCTAATTAGTTATGGGAGGATAGCTTATACCTGAAAAGGTTACAGAAGATGAGATTTCCCTGGAAATTGGGAGGGGTATGAAATGGACAGAGTTCAGTGAGCTTTTAAGGGTACAATGTGAGGTGAAGGGACTGAGGAAAATACAGGTGAGCCAGATCCAGACCTGCTTAAATAGGGTGACCATTAATTCAGAACTAACTCACCAAGAATCAGGCTCTGAAGTGGCTGCTCTGTTGAGTATTTACCCCTCAATCCATTCTATAGAGTATGTTTTAGTCAGCCAAGGATGGAGGTGCTTACTTACTAATATTGTTGTTATTTCCCATTCTTTATATATAATTCATCTGTCTGATCCAGTATGTATTCGTTGAGAAGCTACTGTGTGGTTAGTACCTACCCTTCCCGGGGTGCAAAAATGAGTCCCTCTCTTCCTGCTCTGGAGGAAGGCCTGGGATGAAGCTCCGCCCTCTTTCCCACCCCTTTGGTCTCTGATTGGGGCATTCCCTCTTTTCTGGGGTTCTCCCTCTTTGATCCACCACCTGGTGGCATCCTAGCCTCTGTGTGTTTGTATATGTGTGTGCTGTGTGTGAATTGTCCTTGATTAGTGTATTAATAGTTAAACTCTCACTCATAGCTTGAGCTCACCAGACCACAAAAAACCTCCCTTGGTTACTCACGCACTACTGCCCAACAAGAATATCCCACTAAAGTTTTTTTTCCCTGCTGTCTCTCTTACTTCCCCCTCATTTCCCCCTCAACTGTGGATTCACCATCTCAGGATGCAGACGGTATGAGAGGACTGCCCCTCAAAGACTCAGGAATCTCAACCCATTCCACCTGCCCTAAAGTCTTAACGCAATGTCAGCAGACAGGTGGGGCCGTGTTGTGTGGGTACTGTTCTATTAGTCTGGTTGTGGCTATCTGGATGTTGTGTATGCTTATGACTCATAACATGTGTCCATAAATTGTGTCTCTGAATCTGTGTGTATGTGTGTGTGTGGTCTGTCTATCTAGGAGTGTGGGAATGGATCATGTGTATATTTGCGAGCCAGGTCCTGTGTATCTAGAAGTGTGCATCAGTGTGTGGTGTGTGTACATGTGCATTTGTAATTCTGAACATGTATGTATGAAAGTTAAATGAGTCCCTGTGAATTTGGGTAAATGTATATATTTTGTGAATAGAATGCACTTGAATTTTGGAGTGTGGATTTGTGATTTATGTACTCTTTGTGTTTTGTGTGTGCTTATAAGTCTGGAGTTGACCCTCTGAATTGTGAGTGTACATGAATCTGGGACGACATATCTGAGCAATGTGGGCAGTGGTCTGTATCAGTCTGTCTTCCTTGGCTAGTGTCTGTGGGTTTCTCTTATCTGTACCTCTGCCTGCCAGTTTGTCTTTCTGAGTTTTTCTCCCTCCTTATTTAAGGCATGATGAGAGTGTGTATCTTTAAAAACCCCCTTACTGACCCTGTGTCCTATCCCCTGTCCGCCCTTCCGTGGCAGTAACTGGGCAGCCTCACCGTCTGCCTGGTCTGCTTGCTTGCCTGCTGGGAGTTTTGGAAGCCTTGGAGGGAGACAGGCTGGGGCCGGGGTGACAGCACGTATCCACGGCGATGGCAGCCTGTGATTATGGGAATAAAAGGATTTTAAGGTCATGGGGGGGGGGGTTCTGTTGTTTGGTGGGTTTTCCCCCACTTTGGTGGAGCTGTTGATAGCGTAGGGCCAGGGCTGTGTGTTTGCAGGTTAGGAAATTGGTCCCTTTGCAAGTGTGCATGGATATGTGAGATTTACCTGGGAGCACGAGCATGAGCACATGTTTGTACACTCAGGAGCAGAGCCTGTCTGCTAGCTCTCTTAATACCAGTCCACAGAGCTGTTCCCTGGAGGAGAATCCCTAGGAAGATTTATTTTTTTTTTCTGGATGTTCTGTGGAGCTGTAACCCTGCAGTCTTGTTTATGACCCTCACGCTTCCCTGCTCCCTAACCCCCAACCCCCAGGCTGGGTGTCTCTGGCCAGAGACTGTCTGGGCTCATTCACCTGGGCCAGACCACATCTCGGGGTGTCAGTGCCCCTGGCCTCACTCCAACCCCTGTAATTGCATTCTGCTGCCTAATCCCCCGCCAGCTCAATTAGATCGCAAATTCTTCTTCATTTCCTGCCTCTGATGCTGGCCTCCCTCTGGGTTTGCAGGGCCTA